TTTCAGCGAATCTATTGCTTGATATTATACGAAACGCAGTTAATGATACAATGTTATATAATATAAGTAATCATATATTTGCATTGGGTGATCAGTAAGTGAACCAGCTGAAACTTTCTGTTTTATTCAGGCAAACATGTCTACCGCAACACTTTCATCCCACTGTATGTTCACAATTGTACCCCCGAGCCGAAGTACAAGTGCCTTTATCAAGAGCCCATCCTCTCTAGGATCTGTAAAGAGCATCTCGAAAACATTTGGCTTGAAATCCACCTATGGTTTCAGAGCATCTGCAATGGCAGTATACAAGATAAAGCTGATTGGAGAGAATGGCGAAGAGACCGAGTTTGAAGCCCCTGATGATGCTTACATCCTGGATTCCGCAGAGAATGTAGGAATTCAGCTTCCATATTCTTGCAGAGCTGGTGCATGCTCCACCTGTGCTGGGAAGATTGCATTGGGTTCTGTTGATCAGTCTGATGGATCCTTCCTCGATGGGAGCCAAGTAAATCAGGGTTACCTGCTCACTTGCATCTCCTACCCAACTTCAGATTGTGTGATTCATACTCACAAGGAAACCGAGCTATATTGAGCATCTATTTGAGGCCATACCTCCAATTTGGTGAGTGGTAAGTTTTTTTTTTTGTCTTGTTTTCAGGTTTGAAATGTAGTAGATTGGACGGGTTGTATTGGACCTCTGGTACTGATTTTTAATGATGTTTGTTGTACACTGCGCTTCTATTAGTATAACCCCCCCTCCCTCTGGCAAAAAAAAAAAAGATGGGCGTCTAGGATAGAGTTCAAGTGACTAGATTGATGAATTGTTTTGATAGTGACCCGATAAACTCATTGGATCATTGATCATTATTGTTGCGAGAGAATGTCTGCAATAGAATGCATGCTATGCAAGGTTTTGATATGACTTTTAGGCTGCCTAAGGATTGATAGATATGAATTAAACAGATTTCTGTTCGATTGGTTAAACGATGTTATCTTTCATTTGCTTTTATCAAGATGCATCTAAAGTTGAAATTTATTGATGAAGGATTCTATTTGCATGAGTACTGTAGTCGAATATAATCTCTAAATCTAATATATCCTCTCCCTCATCTAGAGGGCCATCTTTAGTTAGCATCAAGATTGTTCTATTGTGACCTAAGTATTCTATGTGCGAGTCTTGAAATAGTCTAATTTTGCACGCAGGGATGAGCCTCGTGACCAAATTTCCTATCCTTGTCTAATTACAACTAATGGATTTGACTCCAATTTACCTTGATTACAAATATCAAAATATCCTTTAATTTCTTGTAAGGATTTTGATCCTTACTGGGATGTTGAAGGATATGATTTGAAAAGCTTTTGCAATGGGGAAAACAATCCATCCCCTTCTTGTGTGTCAATGGATCTAATGGGATAGCCAAGAATCTGGCCGTGACATTTAAAAATAAAACAAGCTTGAAAGCAGCTGTCACTGTGTAGTCAAGGTTCTTTTGGATAATGGAGAATCGTACCAGTCACTTGTCTTGTGGACCATGGGTTATAATGTAAACTCCGGATTGCATCCATTCACTCTTTAAGCCAAGCGTTATGATGAGAGTTGATCTTAGAAATTTGTGTTTCCATGCGAGATGTATATGAATGTTTATTTTGCTGACTTAACACTAATCATGGTTCTCTAGTTGTCTCCAGTGACATTCTATTTTGATGTACTGCCTTGTATACCAGGAAGTAGAAAGGTGATTAAGTAGGTTACATTAAGGAGGTAGGTCATGCGTGGATGTTTTGTTTCTTCCACTTGTTTCACTGGTGTTTGATATGAAACTGGGGTTGTAAAAACATGATGCATCACCCAATAGGCTGTAATGTTCCCCGACTGAATGCTCTTTCCTGCATGGCTTTCAACCAGGACCGAAAGGAAAGAAATGCGAGATCGAATGTGGATAGAATTTTTTTGTATTCTAATTAGACCCAAATAAGAGTGTTTTCAACCGATCTAATCCATTTTTATGCAAAGGATGTAACAAAACGTCACCTACCTTTGGAATATTATAGTTGCGGTTGTGGCCGTGGTTCACGGGGAGTCGGTCATCGGCTCCCTTGTCATCAGGCACCAACTTCCTTGATCTTCTAATACTAGATAAGCGTCAACCCTCGTACATGGTCTTACAATTTTACGTAGACTTGTGTTTTGATAAACAGTCTACATTAAATACAGACTGTTTGAATTTATTATCATTCCACACATTTATTAATACCCAATTCGAGATGACAATAATTGATAAAAAAATGTTGGTGATAAATCTATGGGTATTTTTTTTTCTACTTTTTGGTTTTTAGACTTATTGAACGGTTGATGAAATTGAATCAATAACAAATCGACTCCTAAATCAAATATGTACACCAGATATATAAATCAAATAAATTTTTTCCATACTATTCGTCCAGCAGAGTCAAATTTATACAGTAATTCGATCTTCTTGACATTCCTATCTACAATATGGCTTATGGTTATGGAAGATGATGGCCGATCGAGAAAGCGAGAGGCACCCCAAAAAGCACACTTTAGGCCGAAAGAGATTTGGTGAAGAAGAATCGTGGACAAGCTTTTTCTAGAAGCCAACATGCACGTCGAGAGGGTCATGGAATAAGAATAAAGTACCTCTCTATTGTGCTCTGCCGGAAAGTTTAGATTGAAAGGAAACGTTAAATGTTTATGTTCTGTATGATTATCAACCTTGTAAACAATAGAAAAGTGCGCTTAGAATTCATGAAAGTAACTTTCCAGGGAAAATTATCCAAAAGAAAGAAGGAAAATATTTTGGATCCCAAATGAATAGAGATCATTGAATGAATAAATCCCGTCAATTTTTTTAACAAAACCCACTGATGATTTGTCTAGAAGCAGCCACCCTTTAAAGAATGTGTAATAACTCACTGATCGAGCGTTGTTGCATTGAAGATGAACAGGTCTAAGCGATTTATCGAAGTTGGGGGATGTAAAAATATATCGATAGTGGAGCATTCCGCCTTAGAGGGAAGGACCCGCATGAGAGGTAGTGGACAAAGCGAAAGCGAGAATGTCGACTTGAATAACACAAATATTAGTGAAAATTCAATCCCAAAAACTTAAGAGTTACTCCGTAAAATTCGTCTAGAGGGTGAGTCAGGATCTAACATTAGGCTGAAAGGCATAGTCAATAGACAATTACTAAATATTCCTATACTATCCCTTGTTGGTCCCAATAAACAGAAGAGACTAGATTAGTCAAAAGATGGTTATCAATTGAACCAAGTAAGGTAACCAATGATCACACCTAGCATTGCTAAGAGAAAAAACTTGCTGGGGCAGAATTTTGTGTTTAGTCAGGGAGGCTTTTGCTCTGCACAAGCACAAGGCTAACCACTTGAGTTGAGCAGCATCTATATGGGGTCACATCAGGGACCACGCATGTTTCTATTTTGTATTTCATGTCAACGCCAACAGTTAAAAGTTTGGAAAATATTATGCATACCAAAAAAATCTTATTTGAATGGTTGAATCAATAAATCTGGTTATAAAAATAAATGAAACTCATTGATCAAACCATTTAATCGATCGGTCATCGTGTATTTGATTAGAGATTATTAATTTTTAAAATTCCAACAAAAATCATAACAGATAATTTACTTTTAAGACCAATTAAAAAAAGTTGTATAAGAAGGATTTAAATCCCTAGGAGAGGTAAAATAAATATAAATATAAACTTTTTTGACATTCAAACTCGCACTATCACGGTCTTAATACAACATTTTTATCATGACAGTGGATAGCGACCATGATTGTAAGCTGGTCAAATTCCCAATCCAACAACTTTCTCAAATCAATCTTATTTCTATTAAAAAAAATAATAAACAAGAATACACAACTGTTGAGATTTGACTTTTTTGGTGGTTGGTACTTTTTTTATCTATGAATTTTTTAAGTCTATTATTGCACTCTTCTATTGAGTAAGCTTTAGGGATTATTATCACATTGTTTTAAGCATAAAGCTTTTGACATTTCCAACTAACCCAAGGCTTTGTCTATAGGCAATGCTTTACTTCTAAAAAATTAGAAAAAAGAACCAGCCTAAGCTTCTAAAATATAAAGAAAAGGTGGGAAAACTTAGCTCCAAATTTTCCTCACAACAGCAGTACTCATATGAAGGCCCGTGTGTGGGGTGAGGCGTGTTCATGTTTTATCTTAGTGGTTCATATCAAAAAGTACTCTATTCATAGTCGATTTATATATTAATTTTTGTCAAACAAATCGTGTTATATCGAATTTGTATCATGTATTTCTTTTGATTAGCTCATACATAATTTGTTTATTAATCATGTCATGTCAAATTCATCCGTTTACGAAATGAGTAGTTTAAAGAAGAATAAAAACCTGTAAGTTTGTGTTGGTTTCGTATCGTGTTAACGAGTCGTGTCATATTTTGATATCCCTGCTCGTGAAATAGTAATTTGTTATTAAAGATTTGATAACACTAATTAGACAAAATCCATAGAAAAATACGAAGTTAAATGTGGCGCCCCAAACTAATAAAAAATTACATGTGGGTCAATTCGAACCCAGTCCACTATCTAAGGGTAATTTTTCCTTGGACACTCAATTTTTAGCATTCAAGTTGAATTTGAATAAAAGAAGTCTCAAACCAATTTTAATCCGAACATCTCAAATTTTAGGGACCCAATCTGCTCTCCGCCCATTTTCTTTAATATACATTCAACTCAAATTGAACTTGAAATTTAATAGGAATTATATAACTAGAGAATCAAACAAATCTCAATCCAAATGGTGTCTTTCGAGAGGAAAAGTATGGACATTGATTGAATTCAAGTTGAAGGTCACATGGCGAGAGGTGTTATGAATTAGGCGTAACTCGTGTCTGAGATACGGTGTAATGTGAATGATTTTAAGAAGAATGTTGGTGGCCGTTGAATAAATCTATTTGAAACTGTCGAATAGACTCATTAAAATCTGTCATATTTTATATTATAGAGTTCATTAAGCTCATATTGTCCTCCTCTCCTCCTCCAAATCCAAAAAAAAATTGCATTCCTAAGATGGTCAGAAGTAGCATTTTGTCATTGGGATGGAACTCTGATTCAAACTTCATGGATATTCGGATTCTCTTTCCTAAATTTGTACATCACTTTTGTATGTAAAAAAAGTCGTTATGATCCGCATGTTGAGCAGTTAATTACAGCAAGTCTTGATTGATGTAAGTCATAACTTTTGTAGTTCAAAAAATTGAAAGTTGTACCCCTTCTTCTCTCTAATAAAGTCTTTAACCTTCAGGAAATAGTAATGAGCCTTCACCAATTGGTTGCACTTTTTTAAAGAACTTTCCTTATGAATTTGGTCGGACTTGTTAAGTCCGTTTGGTAGAATAAGTTCCCACGCCTTCTACCAATTACGATGGGACATAACATCATCTTGCACAACGAAAACTTCTTAATTTTCAAAGTTGATGAGGGAAAATAAAAAGATAAATCACATTTCATATTCTAAAAGATATAAAAAATTATCACGTTATACTCTCAAATATTAAAATTTTTATATTATACCTTAAATGTATTAAAAATATTATAATGTAATTATTTTGTTAGTTTTTGTTACTCATTTTATCAAAAAAAATTTTATTGATATGATAAAATTAGTAACGGGAGCTAAAAGAAGGGTTATATTATAATATTTGAAATATATTGGATAGATATAATGTAAAAAATCTAATTTTTAAGGGTATAAAATATAAATTCTTAAATATTTGATAGTACAAAGTGTAATTCTCCCAAAAGAGGAAATAAAGACAAAAGAGGGAGGTCAAAGTTGTTATTCTACGACGAAAAAGGCCAGCAAGAGTGACGAAGCGGAAAAGCTGAGGTGTAAACCGACCTTTTCAGACATCGAGCGTGGTTCGCGAGGTGGATCGCGTGACGGCCGGTGAGTAACACGTGCAATCTTACTGATCTTCGCGTCATCATTTGCATTTTTTCAAACGATTATTTTAGTCCAAACACGGTTTGTGTTGGATAATTCTGATTCCGATGAGGTGGTAGTCGGGGAGGGTTGTTTATACCAGCCTTAGTTTTGTCCCCGTTGGTATCGGGGATTTTTAGTTTTGACGCAATGTTAAGGTTATTCTGTTATGAATTTGTGCGGAAATAATTTTTTTTGTTTGTAAAGGTGAGAGTGCATATAATTTAACTCTCCTTAAATGCCATAATATCAGAAAACATATATTTTTATTACGTCTTTTATTTTTTGGTAATGGTTATACTTACATATAACTTTTTTTTTTTTTGGTGTAAAACAGAGTGTTCAAGTTGACAATTACTAAATTAGTATCTACGACGTACATGTAAAATAGTTTAAAAATTATTAAAAGAAAAGAAATTGATTATATATTGATATTGTTCACATTTATGTAAAGGAGACATAAGCAATGGATTAATTAAACCAATTAGTTTGCTTTTTAGTTTGAAATAGTTTTAATAGAGATTAAATTTTTTTTCTTCTAGAATTGCTATGTGCAAATATTCGTAAGATTTCGCCGTGTACTTGAAATAAATTTGTCAAGAACCTATTAGCGATATATTTATAAGGGCAACAATTGCTTAAAATAGAGAAGTAACATATTTTAAGGTCTATATTCTATTTCAATAACTCATATGCGACATTTCCACTAAATTTGTCAACTTAGTTATGACCTGATTTTGTTAAAAGCTAAATTAACTCAACGCATAAGACGATCTATTTGTTGAGTAGGTTTAGCAGGGTAAATCTCATTATAATTTGAACTCATTAAAACAAAATTCATATATAATTTCTTGACAATTAGCAAGCTGTATTAAAAAGTGTCAATCTTAATCAGGAATTTAATCCAATCTAACAATAAGATAAATTGTGAGTTGTAGTATTATATAGATTCCACTTTTAATTCAATGATTATATTGAATTATGTCCCCAGATTATGTGACCAAATTAAATTCAAATAGTATTTTAAAAATTTTATTGTATCATCGAAAAAGTTAAAAGAAAAATGATATTTTTGAAAATCTAATAAAAAATTCAAGGGAAAATTTCAGTCACATTCCCCCAGTTTGTCATATCTTTAAAGACAACCCCTGTAGTTTCTGAATCTTTACTGACACCCCTATCTAGTTAAATACCATAAATAAAATATAATTTGACTAAATTGCCTTTAATATATTTTAAGAAAAAATTCATCTACACCTCATGTAAATAGACATATTTTAAATAAGACCCCCTCTATTTTATAATTTTTTTTACTTATTAAAACTCGGGCCGTCTAAAATTTGATTGAAGCCAAATAAAATTCGTTTTTAATCAACTCGCATTGAATTTTAATCAGTCTAAATTTTGATACGTAAAAAGATATAAATTTTAATTGATTCAAATTTTAACACATAAAAATTAAATTTTAATTAACTTGAATAAAATTTTATTTAGCACGGATTTTAATAAGTAAAAAAAATATAAATTTTAATCAACTCGAATTGAATTTTAATTAACATTAACAGCTTATGTTGAGCTCAAATCGATTCGAATTTTAGTATGTAAAAAAGGAATTTTAATAGGCTTAAATTTTAATATTCGTAAAAAAATAAAATTTAATCAGCTCGAAACGAATTTTAATCGGGTCAAATTTTAATATGTAAAAAAAATTTAATCAGCTCAACTTTTAATATATAAAAAAATAAATTTTCATCAACTCAAGTTTTATTTAAATTTTATGTAAAAAGATTGTTTGGGGTTTATGTAAGGACAATTTTAGTATTTTAGATATATATTTTTTATTATAAATAGTGGTTTAATGACAGAGGTATTAGTGGTGTTGAAATATAAACTAGAAGGGGTTCCAGTGATATGTTAGATAATGAAGGGTATATCTTTGGAGATATGGTAAATTAGAGAGGTGTGACTCAAATTTTTCAAAAATTCAAAGGGTGTTTTGAGAAATCCAGAAAGTTAGTCGCTAAAAATCACGTAGGACTAGGACCACCAAACTAGAGAGGGACTAAATTAAAAACAATGAAGTGCACACGAGGAGAAACATAATTGGTTAGGAATTAAACATCACATGATACCATCGAAAAATGATTTTATTACAACTTTTTTTTCATAACATGTATGTGCATATATATAGGACATTGTAGGGGGTGGCAGGCGTGCCTGACCTTCGGAATCTACAAGGTGAAGCGGCGCACATTAACTAGTAATGGTCACCCTCCTCCGCTCATTTATTGTTCTTCTCTCTCTAACAGGTTCATCTTCTACTCTCTGCTTCTTGTTCACTCCCTCTCTCTCTCTCTATATATATATGTGTGTGTGGTGTTTTTTTTTTTTTGGTGTCCGTTGGATATTTGAATGGTTCATTTGATTCAGTTTTGGTTGGTTAACCAAGGATGAAATGCAAAATCAAAAACTAAATCTTTGGATTTCTTCATGAGAAAATGGAGAACTTATGTCATCTATGTCAGGTAGCTGTGCGATGTTCAATTGGGTGGCTGAGACATTCAATATTGAGTAGTTCAACTTCTTGTAGATTTGCCAGCATATTCTCTTTGTCAGAGTTAATGCTTGTGGAATATTGATGGATAGTGTACGAGTTTAAGTCGATTTTTTTTTTTTTCTGAATTTTGTTGAGATTTATGGATGATTATGTTGTGAACTTGCATGTTATCGCGTTGAGTTGTTGAATTGTTGTAGATTGAAGTATGTATCAGCATTTTCTGTTATTTATTTTCTGCTTTTTGTACTTGACATTCAAACTTAGGATTTGTTTGAAATTTTTGATTTTTTCTTTTATTTTCCAAATGTTTGGTGGGTATCTTGAAATTGGTAAGAAACATTGTTTTCTTCTGATTTTGGGTTCCCTTATCAAATACAGATTCATAAATACTAGCTAGTCATATAGTTTTCTCCATTATGGAACAATAGTCTTCTATAAGCACCCATTGATCCAATGCAATTGGGTTGTTTGACTGTCTTGGTTATTTTCTCTGTTTCCAGATTTATTTGTTAGTATTGTTAGCCTCGGAATTGGAATTAACTATGGCCAGATTGCCAACAATCTCCCATCTCCTTCCCGGGTTGCCATCCTCCTTACATCTGTCAACATCAGTAGAGTGAAACTCTACGACGCTGATCCAAACGTATTAAGCGCATTCTCCAATTCTAATGTTGATTTTGTTATTGGACTTGGGAATGAGTATCTTCAGACAATGACCGATCCTGTTCAAGCTCAAACTTGGATTCAACAGAATGTCCAGCCTTACCTTCCACAGACAAAGATTAGTTGTATAACCGTTGGAAATGAGGTCTTATCTGGAAATGATACTCAGTTAATGTCCTATCTCCTCCCGGCAGTGCAAACCATATATGGCGTTCTTGTAAATCTTGGCCTAAGCAAACAAGTATATGTGACAACTGCACATTCACTTGAAATTTTAGGTAATTCCTTCCCACCTTCCGCAGGGGCTTTCCAACAAGATCTTGCTGAGTACATCCAACCCATTCTCAATTTTCATTCGCAGACCAACTCGCCGTTCCTCATAAATGCATATCCATATTTTGCATACAAAGATGACCCAGATCAGGTTTCACTGGAGTACGTGCTTTTCCAGCCTAACCCAGGGGTGACTGATCCAATTACGAATTTGAACTATGATAATATGTTATATGCACAAATTGATGCTGTTTATTCATCAATCAAAGCGATGGGTTATACAGACGTGCAAGTTAAAATTTCTGAGACGGGTTGGCCATCTAAGGGGGATCCCAATGAGGTAGGAGCTACACCAGAGAATGCAGAAATATACAATGGTAATTTGCTGCAGCGGATAGAACAGCAGCAAGGTACTCCAGCAAAACCATCAGTACCAATCGATATATATGTTTTTGCACTTTTTAATGAAGATCTTAAGCCTGGTCCGACATCAGAGAGGAACTATGGGCTATACTATCCAAATGGTACTCCAGTTTATAACATTGGTTTACAGGGTTATCTTCCCCAGATGGATTACTCAGCTTCACAGAAGAATGTAAGTATCTTGATTTTTTAGTAAGCTCTTCATAGTATCATCCTTCTTCACACAGTTGCTTCATTCGAGTAAATGCAAGATGCATTTTATAGATCCAAATATGAATTACCAGCGTCTTTCGTTTGCACTGGCTGAATTAATACCAAGATATAATTTCATGAAGCTATGAATCTAATGCTATTATTGTCTCATATTTTGCAGGCCTTGTCTATTTGCACTCTTCTCCTTTTTTCCCTAGTATCCTTAATCTATGTTTAGAAGGTGGAGAATTAATTAATTTGAGGCAGACGGGAAGATGGAGAAAAGAGGAGCCCCTGAAGTCCCTCGATTCCTCAAAGATATCGTCCTTACAGTTTGAGGGGTAGATTGTAGAGGTAAAAAGTTCAACTCCCATTACTCAATTCATCTTGAGTTTTTTTTAGTAAGAGTAGTATAGCCGACCCCAAATGATTGGGATTTTAGACTTGGTTTGATTTGGTTAGTAGTATAGTCTTCCCCCACGCACATAATTCCCCTGCATTTCCTATTAATTTAAGTTGATTATGAACTCAAATTCCTGGTGATTAGACATGTAGTTATCTGGTGAGAACTAATCATTCATTGGGGTCTTCTCAAATTAGTCATCATGTGATCTCCAGTTCTCTGAGCTCATTTTCTGAGATTTCAGAAATATTAGGGAATGAAGAGTCTAGGAACTGTTTGGTGAGAAATTTACAACCATTTATGGAATACGTTTCAACTCCATAATATTATTTCCCATATGAGGTAACATTATTTCTTGGAAGTCTCTCATGGGAAAGACATTCAATATTAGAATGAGCTTGCAAATACCGTATTTTGTGTGTTGAACATCATCGTTTCAAACTCCAAACATGTAACATCAATATTTTGTTTGAGCCAGAGAGTTGGCTTGTGGCTTTCTACGTTGTGGAGCCCTTTTTGACTATAGGGAATTTTTGCATCAGCATGGCCTAAAGAGGATAAGCTTGCCAGATAGACGAATTTACATGACAAATGCATATAGTGACTGGCTATATATTTGATCCCCAGTTCGTAGGACAGCCAACAGTTCATGATCAACCGACCCTCTTGTTAAAAGTGATCTGTGGTGGTCCAGACAACATTGGACCTCGACACCATTCGTTGGAACTGCAAAGCTCATATAAAGTGGTGTGGATTGAGGAAACATATGGTAGAGAAATCTAAACTAAGTTAGCTTGATTACACGCCAACTCAGAGTTCAGTCCAACTTTCATTCATCAAAGATATATTCTATGAATACTACTAATTATATGGTGGTTGGTAGGCGATGGCTTAGCACTGTCCATAGAAAGTTTAAGATAATCTTTCTTTCCCTCGTGGTTGTTAGTCTATTGTTTGGTCCATACACATGGCATGTGTTTAATTACGATTGGATCTTTAAATAGGGTGGGTATCGATAGTGATCTTTGATTATTCGTGGAATTAATCCTGTGCCGCCTTTGTTTGTAGGGAGCCAACCATGGTGGAACTTTCATTTTCATCCTGGACGTCACAGCTAAAAATTTAACACCGATGCTGGATCAGCGAATTTGTCTTTGGAATTGATCAGAACCAATGTACACATATCAAAATAATTCATTACAGATCAAAGAGACTAAATATTGAAAAGGTAATTCGTGTTGAAATTCATACTACATTACAGCAATAAAGTGAACCAACTGCAGCAGGAACTGTAATAAGGTTAATACGATTCTTTAACAAATAGACGATAGTTTGTAACTTGGTGAAGTTTGAGGGGGGCTTATATGATTTTGTTGAGGGTACAACCTTGTACAATTCAAAGACCAATCAGGGTTTTATATTTTTTTCAATTTATTACAGTTTACTCTTGTGTTCATAGCATTTAATCTTTATTACACTACTGCTTAAGCCAAAAGTTGGGAGATGCCTGATCTTGTACTGTCTCATTGGTTGGTTATATTGCTTTCTTTGTTACTGTTGGAATGAGCAAGAAATTGATATGATGAAAATTGAAATTTAAGAATGGGAATCGGCAGGCTTCTTCAGGCAGTAAAGCGAATTTGATCAACAGGGTGAAATATTTCAAGTACATAACAAAGAATATTGAACAGCCAGAAGTAGACAGTGGTGGATGAGCTTAATCTTCCAACCTAATTTCAAGAAGAAATCCTGGAAGAAATAAAACTCATGAATGGTTGGAAGCGGAGAAGCTAAGAACTATGCAATTGGAGAGTTGGTCGTCGAGGATAGCTCAAATGGAAAGGGCCCGGTTGGTCCAATACACGTGGTTTGCGAGTGAATGCTACATCCATAATTTAGGTTGCTGCCATTCAAAACCAATCTATAATTGCTGCAGGCGGGTCCCTGGTTGATGGTTCCTTTGCTTAGTCTATAATGCATGT